ACAGTGAAGTGAGTTGTGCATACATGTAGCATTACATTAGAAAAGTAAAGAAACTTTATAGAAAATTAAAAAAAACACCGGCAGCAAATTCTTGTGAATAAATAATTATGCGGAAGATAGCTCTTCCCTCCCCATTCCAGTGGACTATCAAACAAATTATAAAGCACATTGTCCAGAGTAGAATATATAATTAAAGGCATAGACATTACAAAAGATTCACACTGTTTTCATGTCAAGGGCCAAGTCACCACATCAAGTTACTTTGGTCTTATTAAAGTAAGCCAAAAAGGGTCCGCAGGTCTTATAGAATTTCTCATCAGAGCCTCTGATTGAGAAGCAAAGCTTCTCTAAGTTAAGGCAGGATATTATGTCCCGAAGCCATTGATTGCATGTGGGCGGGGCAGCGTCCTTCAATTTGAGTAAAATTACCAGCAGTGAAGAAAAGGCAATAATGTGGCGTTCTGAAGGTGGAGCACACGTACAGTGGTTGTACCAAACAGCTACCAGGTGGTCCAGGTCTAGTTTTTGATTTAGGATGTTGTACAAGGCAAGGAAAATGTCTCTCCAGAATTCCTGTAGGCGGGGGCATAGCCAGTACATATGAAAAAGGATAGCATCATTTAGGTAGGGTTCATGAAAAAACTGGACAATTTAGCCTCTGAAATATGTGCCCTGTGTACTACCTTAAACTGCAAAAGACAGTGTCTTGCAGTTTGTGAAGAGTCTTGCACAGAGTGAAGATGTATGTATTGATGTGAGGATTGTGTCCCATAGAACATCATCCAGGGACTGGTCATGCACCCAAGCCAGTTTAATACTGACCAAGGGTGCATGCATCAATATGGAGATGTTACTGTACAAGGTTGACATAGCCCTTTGAGATATTGGTTTGAAGGAGAGGAACACATCAACAGGGATACTGTCCGGTTCCTTAGGAAAACATGGCAAGACAGAACGCACATAGTGCCTAGCCTGTAGATATCGAAAGAAATGCACGCTTCTACTCCATTCCTCGTCACTGGAAGTTCCCCGGGACATTCTTCAACATGGCGTGTCTTGATCGATTTCCGGTTCAAGTCACAGAGGAGAGAGGAGACGAGGAGAGAAGAGATGAGGAGACGAGGAGGGACATTGGGATGAACCTATTTCTCTCAGGAAGGTTCCTAACGGAGTGAAATGACCCGGAAGTACCTTAGTGGCAGCCATGATAAGACCTGATGCTCTAGATCAGGGGTCGGCAACAGGCGGACCGCGGTCCGGATCCGGACCCAGACGCCGACCTACACGGACGCGGACCTATAATCAATACATTAATAGGGGATTTCAATTTTGACGGGGCGATTCTAGTTTTAACCGCTGCCGACAGGGGGCGAAAGAGACGAGTGAGCGATATTATAGTTAACCTATATATAACCTGCAATTTTCTGCGTGCAATGTGGAGATTCAGACTGTGAATCCAGAATGGGCCTGAATTTGCCTGTCTTTTTGGGTGCCAGGAAGTACAGGGAATAATGCACCCCCCTCTTTTATGCCTGTGAACGGAGGAGGGATGCTGCAAAACTGGAGTGAATAACCCAGTCTCAGCGTCCTGTCCATTCACTCCGTTAACACGCAGCTGCGTATCCATTCTCATAATACTGTGTTTAGGGGATGTGCAATCAACTGTGGGGTCCCAGCAATAAAGCTGTGGTACTCTCTGGCGACCCGCCCCACCGCAAAACTCCCCGTGAAGGGAAGCTCTGCCCATGGGGGGTCGACACAGAAAAGGGCCTACTCTCCACTGAGGTCCTTGAACGCGCCGCGACGCCCTCCCTCAAGTGGAGTTTTTACACTTGGCTTTAATTGTTTCCCATTATGGCCGGTGTACTACTACACCGGCCATAATGTCCCTGTACCCGCATAGCGCGGTTTATCACTCTCACCCGCGCATACGCACTAAGATAAGATAAGATGGACTTTTCTTAATCCCTTGTGGGGAAATTGTTTCTCTGCATTTGACCCATCCTAGTGTTAGGAGAAGTGTGCTGCCATTTTGAATGGCGCCCGGGGAGCAGTGTGGGGAACGGTGCCTTGCTCAGGGACACCTCGGTAGCACTTGGTCTTTCCGGGACTTGAACTGGTGACCTTCCAGTTGCCAAGCCAAGTCCCTATCGACTTCGCCACCACCGCCCCACTAGCTCCCTCCTTTACTGGAGTTACAACCTGGGCAGCGAGTGGGGAACTGTACTGTCAACATTACGTGGCCGTGTGGGTGTGTGGAAAGAAGAGACACTCAAAACTGGAATACATTTTATCTTTTTTATTTTGAAAGGAAGACTTTGTAACCAATGGGTCAAACAGGGAGGAGGCGGGATTCGCCCTCGCGCCCTGGCCGGAGAAATCCCCTCCCTCCGCCGGGACGCTTCCTCCCACCGTCAGTCCACTCCTGGAGGACAGAGCTCCCCACCCGGTACCCCTTCGCTGCGGCAAAATACTTGAATATCTTATCCAGATATACAAGCCTCTCGTGGTCACGCGACAGCGGGGGCAGGGGCCTTCTCCCCTCTGCCCACCCGGCTGTCTGCGGAAGCAGATGGGCCGCTAGGCTTTCCTCCAGTGGGGCCACACCGGGACACTCCGTGTCCGAGTGGCCCTCCACACAGGGACACTCCGTGTCCGAGTGGCCCTCCACACCGGGACACTCCGTGTCCGAGTGGCCCTCCACACCGGGACACTCCGTGTCCGAGTGGCCCTCCACACCGGGACACTCCGTGTCCGAGTGGCCCTCCACACCGGGACACTCCGTGTCCGAGTGGCCCTCCACTCTGACGATTCCAGCCCAAGTAGCCACCGGAGCCTTCGTTCTAAGTGGCTGCCGCGTCACGCGGTCTCCACACACCGTCGGATGTCTGGCAGGGGGGGTGAAACGAAGGCCGGCCAGCTGTGCTGGACGAGCCGGGCCGTAAAAGCCCTGACGCAGGCGGCTCACCGGCCTCGGTGGCAACGGTGAGGGGAGCGGCAAGCCTGCACGCTGCGCCGCCATAGCCATCACCGCCGAGTAGTCCTGTCGTGCAGACCCGCTCTGCTGATGGCCTTCTTGGCGGTCACCGGAGATCTCGGATGACGAGGAGTCCTCATCGCCGCCTCTTATGCAGTGGATGCGCGCACATTCAGGTAGGCCCTACCTGAAGTCTCAGTGAAGGAATGCATGCATGAATAGGATACAGGGGAGTACCCATAGAGTCCAGTAGAGGGCGGAGCCTGTGAGAAATATAGCATGCAGATAGGAAATCTCAACTGTGTGCTCTTTCTCATACCGAGTTCCCAATGAGTAAAGCCTTAGAATAACTCTAAACAATTGTTAGAGTCGGTGAGGGCTGATCATTTATTCCGGGAAATTACTCAGACCTACTAATTTACCTAACCGAAGTTATTGAGTCTATGTAAGTTTACTGGTTGGCTCAGATCCACCAACGTCAGCAAGATCTCACCTCTATTAACTCCCCGAAGAACCAGGTTCAATTAACTGCGGTTTCAATTCAGACAACTCTCTTAAATCTGTTTAAGCGATGCTGAAGGATTTTGATATCAGTAAATGAGGTGTGGCATTACCTAAGTGTGAGTTTGGCAGTGTGCAATCTTACCTTTGAAGCAGGAGAGGAGAGTGCAGATGTCTTTTAAGTTGTCCCAATCCAAAAGGTGGGATCAGTTTATTTGAAGAAAAATAGGTCCAAACTAATACAGGGTTTTTACCTTCTCTCGTTACAACATTATAATCATACTAAACTAAATAATGCTGTGATCATGTTCAAATATGAAACTTTAATTCACAGTGTTACATTTATTACCAAAATTATCATTTCAACTGCCCAATTCAGTTTTGATTTTTAAATCTCCCGATAGAATTTAGAGGCATTTCCTCTTAAATGACAGGTGATAATAAAAAGCACATTCAAACTTTCATTCACCAAATCAATTTTACACCTTTTTTTCCAACACAGACGGCGGGAATAACATTCAAAAACCCACACCTTTCCGCATGAAGATTCCTCACAGCTGGCGGGCCTAATATTCACAAACACATCTCAATTCATTCCACAAAGTAATTCACTCAGCATTCAACCAAGACATTTGAGAGATATTTACCAAGTCTGAGAACCTTACCAAGAGCTATTAACCCACCTCTGAGGGACAGAGCTTTTACCAGGAGAGAGTATACCAGGGGAATCTCTCGCTCTCTCGCTCTCTCTCTCTCTCGCTCTCTCTCTCGCTCTCTCCAAAAAGCCAGTGTCTTTATGCTCAACAACAGGATATAAAAACCTAAGACCCCTCCTCCACACCCATGTTTGTGGAAACTGGGCATGGCCTCTGATGTACAGGATTGGACATGACTGGACATATTCTATTGGCTATGGCATAAGACACACCTTCCCATGTTTGTGTAAAAAGGACATGACCAAGCATATTCTCGGCTATGTCATAACCACCTTTTGAGGCCTCAATGTATTTCTCCTTAAGTCCGGAGCCCCCCTGCCTGTGTACTGCTGTGAGAGGAGAGGGAAGAAACTGCCTACTCTCTTTACAGTGACACCCATAAATCATTATAGGCCTTACACTCAATTTAACAAACCACTTGTGTTTTGTTTATACTGTAAATATAGAAAAACCTAAAATATGAAGCATTTTCATTGTGGGTTATACAAGAATATAATTGATTATAACTAACTTTCGTTTTAAGTATTCAACATACTATGAAGGTCTCAACACCCTCTTTTTAAAACGCAAAGTTATCAAAACAGCAACAACTAAAATTGTAAGCCTACATACATATTCAAAGGTCAGGAAAACCCAAATTTGAAAGGGAGACAAAGGATGACGAAACTAGTGACTTGCTCAATTCATTTTTGGGGGATCTGTGAAGAACATGACATTAGCTGCACTACTGGTATTTTGTATACCAGCCATTGAGGGTGGACAAGTTTACTACCACTTAAGTTTCAAATAATTGTGTTAATGACTTATTGTAAAGGATTTGAACATTCTTTTGTGTCACATGTTCATTATTAAGTTGATCTATAACTGTATAGTATCTTAATTATTTAAAATATAAGGTGTCTAAAAATGGCAACCGTATTTTCAGTTTCGGCAACCAAAAGCTGATGCCTGGTTGCCAGCCTGGCAACCACTTTTAAAAGCTAGCGTTGAGCCCTGTACAGTCAGACAGATTTTTCTCATGTGAATTGTTGTAGGACTAATTAATTGTCCTCTTTTTTTGTTGCACATGCAGGTTTGACTTGGAAAATGTCAGGTTCAGAAGAGTCTCCAGGGTTGTCCTCAGTCTCTGGTTGTAAATGTCTCTCTGGATCTGAGTTCCTGGCTGGTTCTGATCCTCCACAGTCCTCTCCATCAGCTTCTGTTTCCATGTGTTCAGCTGAGCTGCTGGCTGGAGGCTCTGCCTCTCTGTTCTCCTCAGTTTGAGTTTGATGAAGCTGTGAGGACTGACGACCAACACACTTATGCCTTTTGACCTGACGACTCCAGGTGAATCTTTTGTCACAAAAACTGCAGCTGTATGGTTTCTCTCCTGTGTGGATTCTAATGTGGTCCTTTAAACTTCCTCTCACTGCAAAAGCCTTTTTACAAATTGAGCAGCTGAATGGTTTCTCTCCTGTGTGGATTCTCAGGTGCAGATTTAAGTATCCTTTCCATGCAAATGATTTCTCACAGACTGAGCAGCTGAATGCTTTCTCTCCAGTATGGATTCTCATGTGGTCCTTTAAATGTCTACTCTTTGCAAATGATTTCTCACAAACTGAGCAGCTGAATGGTTTCTCTCCTGAATTACGTCTTGAATCACTGACAGGGTCTTGTTTATTTCTCAGAGAGTGTGAACCTGGTTCTCTGGTCTTCTTCCAATCAGCCCTGTCTTCAGTGTCGGGTTCAGAAGAGTCTCCAGGGTTCTCCTCAGTCTCTGGTTTTAAATGTCTCTCGGGATCGGAGTTCCTGGCTGGTCCTGGTCCTCCACAGTCCTGTCCATCAGCTTCTGTTTCCAGGTGTTCAGTTTGTCTTTGATGAAGGTGAGAGGACTGAGGTTTCTCTTCATCATCTTCACTCTTCACAGGGACAGGAGTGAATGTGGACTTCATGATATCAGCCTCCTCCAGCCCTTGAAGCGGCTCTCCCTCCTGACTGATCCAGAGTTCCTCCTGTTCCTCTTTAATGTGTGGGGGGGGCTCTGGGTCCTCCTGGTCCAGACTGGAGCTCCACTCCTGCTGCTCAGGGGGAACCTCTTCTTTAACCACCACCAGCTGCTGGACGTCTGCAGGAAACAGGAAACACATATTTATCAGATTCAGAATCGGTCATATTTACAAGGTAGGTTTACACATACGAGGAATTTGCTTTAGTATATGTGGTGCATGAAAAGAGACAGAAAGAAGAATCGTAGCAAAAATAAAACATGTTTTATGACTGTTATGTTTGAGAGAAGAAGTTTGGCGGACAAACTTTCGGTGAAAGAGCAGATCAACCTGATATTGCTATCAAATAGCAGGCAAGTGACAAATGGAAGCCGTATGTGCGAGGCTTCTCTTGTAGCTGGTACACCAGAAGCCTGGCTGGATGCAGTCATGCTAATGCCTTATTGTGCCTTCCTTGCTTGGTTTTTAAAACAACGGGGACAGATGCAGCATGGACAACAACTGGAGTGAGGGATATGAAGCACCTGTCTGAGAGGAATGAGGAAGCATGAGAACATCAGAGCACACATGGACAATGATGAGCTAGGAGAGAGAGACATGAAGCAGAGAGAGGAGAGAACACAAGCTGAGGACAGAGATGAGAGTGCTGAGTACGACAGACACCCTGGATGAGAGGACGAGCTGAGACCAGATGACGGAATAGAGAGAAACACAGGATGATAACGAGGATAAAATAGCAGATCTATTTTATCCAAACCACAATAATGAGAGTTTGTAGGGACATATATAGGGCGAGTGAGAGTGGGAGAATGAGAGAGACACACGTTAGAGGCAACCCTAAGAGATACTTAAATACAGGAGAGAGATTATTTGTGACACAGTAGAGAGAGACAGAACAAGATATATATAGACATTACCCCCCAGACAGACGTAAAGACATAGAGACAGAGACAGACATAGAAAGACAACAGATACCAAATACACAATTAATATAACACATAAATAGATACACATATAAACAAGACAGGATACAAACGACACTAGATTGACATACATCAACAGGAATGATTAAGCAGACAAAGACAATTAGACGGTAAAAAAATACATTTTACGAGAGGAGGTAAACAGCGCTAGATTATAGGATCAAGCCCATTTCAGACAAACAACAGAACGTCTCCAAGAAAATAGACAGACTGGATGCTTGTATATAGATATCTCAAACTATTACATAAAGAATAGACATATGATATATGTATTATATTAATATATA